TAGGCCTAATATACGTGGCACACGCGGTAACCAAGCCGAAAGGCATTGTGCGATATTGCATTAGTCCTCTACGAGTAGGGAAAGCCGTGTATAGTTTCGAGTCTTGGTGTAATGGCACTTGATGGTATGCTTGCGAGATATAACTCCGAGAAGAATTTACAGTCATGGAATTTATACAAGTCATGATCAATTACTGGCATGGGTTTGCATCCCATTTAGTGATAGTATTTAAATAACGAAAATCTTGTGCCAGTCTGTAAAAATTGTCTGGTTTCTTAACCACAACAGCAACACAGAAAGCTGATTTAGGGGGTTCTATGATATTTAAGTTTAATAGTTTGTCAACTTTGTTATCAAATGTTTTCTGTAAGTGAATGGGAACAGGGTAGATTTTCCACCTTACTGGTTCATGAGCCGACAATTCAATCTTGTGTACAACAGTGGTGGTAAGTCCTGGGATCTCTGTGAATACGTCTGAAAAGGTATTTACTAAGGCAATTGCTTGAGAACTGTTTATTTGATAGTTCACTGTTGATGTTGACATTTGAGTTATTCGGTGAAGGATCATCTGTTAAGATATCCAGTAGTTCCTTCGATTCTGTAAGAGACTCGTCATCTATAATACAAACTTTACACTTGTACGAAGCACCACTTGTAACTGCGCTGTAAGATTTAGCATTTTCATTAAAGGAGTTTAAACAAAGATCAACTTCTCTATGGTGGTATCGTTTCAAAATATTGACATGATACATTCTTTCTTTACCCTTGACATCCAAGAGATAATCTACCTTATTACAGAACTTCACTACTTTATACAGTCCATGCCAAGTAATTAGCAATTTGTTGGATTTGTCAGGTAGAAGAACTAAAACTTCATCACCAATATTAAACTTATGCTTGGAGCTTTTATGGTCAAAATAGGTCTTGTAGGTTTCCATAGACATCTTTAGGTTTTTAACGACCAAATCGGCGGTTTCTTCCAATCTTTCCCTCAGATCTAAAAGAAACTGATAGCTGTTTTGAACTTCAGGTTTAATATCTTTGGACCACAGTGCATTCAAGATAAATAGTGGTCTACGAGCTTGTCTCCCATAAAGCAATTCAGAAGGGGAATAACCAAGGGAATCACTTGGAATCTCATGCATTGCAAAGAGAGCACATGGTAGAAATCTATGCCAGTCAGTTGGTTTAAGAATACATAGTTTCTTTAATATTGACTTCAGGATGGCATGTTGTCACTCCACTCTTCTGTTACACATTGGATGGTAAGGTGTAGTAAAAAGAGGTTTAACACCCACAAGTTGATAAACCTGTATCATTAGTTCTGAAGTGAATTGTGCCCCTTGATCCGACAGAATTTCACGAGGTATCCCTACATGTGAAAAAATAGATAATAAGGCTTCTGCGACTTCTGTGGATGTAATGGATTTTAAGGGTACCGCCTCTGGGAAGCTGGAGGCATGGTCAGTCATAGTTAAAATATATTTATGACCTCCTGATGAATGAGGAGTGATAGGACCAACTATATCCACTGCAACTCTAGCAAAAGGGACAGAAAATTGGCATCTTTACCATAGGAACTCTCTTAGTTTTACCCTTTTGTGAGGAAAGTCGACATACATGACATGATCTACAGTACTTGTAGATGTCAGAGGACATACTAGGCCAGAAATATAGGTCTTTGATCTTATTATAGGTTTTCCTGTGTGAAAAATGGCCAGAGACTGGTAGGTCATGAGAAATCTTTAAAATAGTTTCCCGGCAATCCTTCGGAATGACTAACAGATTTTGACCCAAGTCATTGGGTTTGTCTGCAGACACTATAGTCTTGTACAGAAAATCATGTTTGAACTAAAACTTACAAGAAAATTTCTTTCTTTGTATCACGTTGCGATTTAAAGCTAACTTCCGAGTTTCCTCTAAGGAAGGACAAGTCTTTTGAAGACCCTCTAAATCTATGTGAGACAGCTCAATAGGTTTTCCTTTGGAAAAAACTAATGGGTGGATAGGTTTTACCTTAGACTGAGCTCTGGTAAGGACGTTAATCGTGTCCTGTTGTTGAAAAGATTTTGTCACGTAGTTTTTCACTGGTTTCTGCATTTTCTGGTTTTGGTGACTGACTTATTAAGGGTGCTCCCGGAGTTTCGTAACTATCGGCACTCGGATTTAAGTTACCCAACTGAATCACTTCTGGAGCTATCTGTGGAGAAACAGAAGTATTAGGTTCTAACCCTTTCTTGGAAACTCTTCCAAATTCCAAACAGTCTCTTTCAGATGGGAAAGTAGCCCCTTCTATGTTCCCAACCAAAACATAACATGAAGTTATTGGGGCAACTACTGCATCTACCCATCCTGAGAACCATTTGCACCTTATGAAACATCTGATTGTTGGAAAAGAATCGCTTCTTCCTAAATAGTCAGTTAATTTAGTGGTCTTACAACGTGATGAATCTAGGCTAGGGAAAAGCTTACTCGAGATAACAATACAGGAGCATCCAGTGTCTCTAAGAATTGTTGAAACATTCATGCCATTGACTGTACCTTCACTAAAAGGTGTGTTAATATTAGATTTGGTGAAACACTTACCGATATTCTCACCTTTTCTCTTAGGACAGTCGGGCCGTCTATGGCCCAATTCATTACAGTTGAAACACTTTACTGTGAAGGCCGTGGAATTCTTCGGTACGGAGGGTTTGGATCCCTCAGGTTGTTTAGGCACAACACTTATATCTGCTACGCTCTTTAGGGTAGTTATTATGTGCACACGCATGTATGTCTGCAGCTTGTGCCATTTCTGAAGCTGTATGAATGTTGCGCTCTTTTATGAATATTCATAAATCAGAGTTTACAGAAGAAAGGAATTGATCTCTTGCCCTCAGGTCTCATAAAGAGTTGAAATCGTGGTCGACTTCAGCACTATCAATCCACGAATCAAATAATCTGAAAAGTGTTGTTAAGAACTGCATATAATATTGATTTAGAGTTATTTTAATATGTCTAAACTCTGACCTGTAATGACGAGCTGTTTTCTTGAAAGCCTGAAGTATAGCTTTCTTCAGCGGGCTATAATTAGCAATAACATCAGAGGGTAGGGTGGAATAGACCTTTAATGCTGAACCTGACAGTAGTAAGCTAAGCCTAGTAGCCCATGAATCTGACGGCCAGCCACAGAGAGTAGCAGTGCTCTCGAATCGAGTAATATATGCCGAGATGTCTTGTTCTGTGAAAGGTGGTATCTGTGGCATCCTAATATTTGATTCTTGGGAAGGGTATTCTTGTACCCCTTCATCTATTTTCTGCTTAGATAGCTCTATCTTCTTGGCTTCTAATTCCAACCTTGACTGTTCTAACTCTCTCTGCTTAGCCTGTTCTTCAGTTTCTTTCATTTTGAAGGCTACCTCTCTCGCCTGAACTCTATCTTCTCTAGCTATCCTTTCCTGTTTTTGTTTCTCTTACCGAGCTAGTCCTTCCTGAACTAACAAACTAACAGGAACGTCTGTTGCAAAAGAGGGACACAGTCCGCACACTTTAAACTTCCCAAAGAAGAAAATGAGCTAGGTTTTTCTTCCTGGAAGAAAACACTTGTGGGCTCAATAGCCTTCACTAAGCTAAATATGCACGGTTCACATAGGAGGGGTTATTATCAAAGTTCCCCAGGTCCAACAAATAGGCAAACTTCTAAACCAAACCCTAGAACCAAACAATGGTAAGTCAACCAGACTACCAGTAATGACTTGACACCTTAACGATACTAACTCACCCTTTTCTATCTTAAGTGTTATACTCACAACCAGTTGAACCATCAGGACAATGTTGCTTCAAGAGTCATATCCTGGCAAGGTCACCACTGTCAGTGGAACGCCTTCCATCTGAGCAAAAAACTAATGGAAAAATAAGTAAATAAAAAAAAAATAAATGACACTAGGAATAATAATAATAATGACTTTTTGAGGATTTTACTTAAAATTTAAATATAATAAAAGTGGCCTTTGGTTCTGGTACTGTAGTTGGGCAGGAGTGGGTAAGGCCCTGGATGGATCTCTGATGTTAAAGATTATGTAGGTAATCCTGGGCAGATGGTACCAGTCTGATGTTTTGGAATCTACTGTACTACTTGGTTGGAGTACCACAAGTAGGATAAATAAGGGCTGGTGGTAGTCGAATAATGTTAATTAGTCCAATTAACAAGTATCTTTCTTGCTCCCTTATCTGGTGTCTACCCTGGATGACCATGCCAGGAGCAGAGCTGGTAATAAGAAAATAACTGGTTACCAATGGTTATGAAATATAACATTTATGAATGAAAAAGAGTGGTATTAAATGTCAAAATCATTTCTGGTAACCAACAAAGAAAAGAAAAACAACGAACAGTAATACTCCTGGTAGATCACCGTACCTGATCAGGAGAAGAGTGGAGGTAAGTGACTCTCCAAACATCAACCCACCAGGTTAATCAATACTACCAAGTAGAAATTGAAACAAATCGGACACCAGGAACTATAGTATCGCCCCAGCCCCCCTGAAGGGGGAAGTGGCCGTCGTAACTCGCTAATGTGCCTGGAGTGCCTGAACAACCCTAACCCCACTTTAACCCACTTTTCCTCACAATTAATCGTGTCAGATTGTTTAGTAAATAATTTGTAATGGCCATACACAGTTTGATTTAAACATATGCTAGCTGCCAAGATTACCAGGTCATTGAGTATGTGATGTAATGACCTTCAGCAGATAGTGTTAACACCAGAGATAAGTGTCAAGTTTTAGCTCACCATTCAGCCTCCCACATGTACATCTAGGTTTGTTAGTGTCTTGAAATTATAGTATATTCCTATATGGGAAGGTTTTCAAACAAACGGTACTGTAATTATGTCCTTGTTCCTTGCAACAGTTGCTAGAAGCTTTTATTGAGGAAATGTCTAGTTCATTCTGCATGTACAGGTATCACAATATATAGTTCTTGTAGTATTTCCTGGCTTGAGTTTACCTGCTTTCCTTGGCAGAGGTCAGTGGAACTCTCCCAAGACTCAAAGCAAGACAGGTGGTGCTGGTTGGACTCCAGTTGTTCCGACTTCTTCCACTGGAGGATTTCGTTCACCAATGCCAGGACAACCCATGACTGCTGCAGGAGCCCAGCCTCCTGCAGCTCAGTGGAGTGGAGGCATGCAGATGGGTGCGGCCTTTTCTCAGCAACCCATGGTAAGTTGACTCAAAAAAAATTCACTGGAATTTAGATTTACAGTGTAATCAAAAGCACTGTACATCATCTTTAGTGTTTTTTTTTTACAAATCCATTAATATTTGTGTTTTTTTTTGATTTGGAGAAAATTGTATATTATGTTTATACTTCTTTCAGTCAGGCTTAATGTGAATTATTTCTTTGCGTTTTCACATTATTGGGCTTTTGTACACATACTTGTTCATCAATTCTGGTGAATCACTTCAGTAGTTGCTGCTTATTTGTTTTGTTCTAAAGCTACCACTTTCTGCTCAGCCTGACCTTCCACCCCTATCATACCCCATTCTTACCCCATAACCCATTCAGAGAAGACCCCTCTTGCTTGAAAATCCAGAATACAACTGTTTTTAATATGCAACCATGTTCAGTTAGCCAACCTACATGAGGACTGGTTGAACTGCTCGTCTAGAATAGAGGAAGAGGAGGAAGGTGATAAAGCATACTTAGTGTTTATTATGCAAGACTTGTAGGAAATGAAGGCCTATGAAGATTGTTCTAAAGAGTTAAGTGATCTACAGATAGGAAAAATTCCTAAGCATTCACCTTGATAGCAAGCTATAAGCTCAACATGTACATTCGGCTAATTTCTAAGGCCATGGTGGCCTGGTGGCTAACGCTCTCGCTTCACACAGCAAGGGCCTGGGTTCGATTCCCAGTCAGAGTAGAAACATTGGGCGTGTTTCTTTCCACCTGTTGCCTATGTTCCCCATCAGTAAAATGGGTACCTGGGTGTTAGTGGACTGGTGTGGGTCACATCCTGGGACACTGACCTAATTTGCCCGAAATGCTGAGCATAACGAGGGGCTTTCTATATAGTAGTACAGGTCCGGCATCATTGGGACCTTTAGTGTGCCGGATTACTGAGTTTGCCGAATTACAGAGTGGTTAGGTTAGAATACACTTAATAAAATTAACCAACTTGACTTACACAGTTCATTGAACATTGGCAAAAATCGAACATTTCCGCTACTTTGAGCTCAATTTCAACGTACTTTTCGTCATGAAAGCAATCAAAATCATGTCTATTTCTGTAATATATCATCCATTCTATCAAATGAGTCCAAAAAAATGAGAATACAACCATAAAAACCATACGAAAATATACTGCAAAGAGGCGGCTAATGGCTGAGAAGTGAACTCCCTTATTTATCATCCGTCTTTTTTTATTTTTGTTGTACATTAAGAAGCATCTTTCCATCATACATTGCCCAAGTTTCAATGAGATAGCCCAACAAACAACCGAGAAAAAAAATATTTACCAAAAATCATATATGGCAAGCCCAAGCCAGGTATTGGAAATAAGTCACTTTGTCTGACTTTTCTGGGTTATCCTAGGTTCTCTATACATACATTGCTATGTATGATAATCTATGTAACTGTATTTGTGTATACAGCGGACCCCCGCATAGCGACCTTAATCCGTGCAAGAGGGCTGGTTGTTATGCGAAATGTTCGGTATGCGAATGAATTTTCCCCATAAGAAATAATGGAAATCAAATTAATCCGTGCAAGACACCCAAAAGTATGAAAAAAAATTTTTTTTACCACATGAAATGTTAATTTTAATACACACAAACTGAAAAAGGCATGCACAATTACATGACACTTACTTTTATTGAAGATCTGGTGATGATTGATGGGATGGGAGGAGGGGAGAGAGAGTGTTAGTGTTTAGAAGGGGAATCCCCTTCCATTAAGACTTGAGGTGTCGAGTCCTTTTCTGGGGTTACTTCCCTTCTTCTTTTAATGCCACTAGGACCAGCTTCAGAGTCACTGGACTTCTTTCGCACAACATATCTGTCCATAGTGGCCTGTACCTCTCGTTCCTTTATGACTTCCCTAAAGTGTTTCACAACATTGTCAGTGTACAGGTTGCCAACACGGCTTGCAATAGCTGTGTGAGGGTGATTTTCATCCATGAAAGTTTGCACTTCAAGCCACTTTGCACAGATTTCCTTAATCTTTGTAGTAGGCAACTTCTTCAATTTCTCTCTCCCCCTCCTCTGAACCAGTTTCCTCAGGTCTGGCCTCTTGCTGTTGAAGTTGATCTATCAGCTCATCAGTGGTTAGTTCTTCATTGTCCTCCTCCACCAACTCTTCCACATCATCCCCACTAACCTCCAACCCCAAGGACTTTCCCAATGCCACAATGGATTCCTCAACTGGCATAGGATTCCCAGGGTTAGCCTCAAACCCTTCAAAATCCCTTTGGTCTACACATTCTGGCCACAGTTTCTTCCAAGCAGAGTTCAAGGTCCTCTTAGTCACTCCCTCCCAAGCCTTACCTATAAGGTTTACACAATTGAGGATATTAAAGTGCTCTCTCCAAAACTCTCTTAGAGTCAGTCGAGTTTCTGAGGTCACTACAAAGCACCTTTCAAACAGAGCTTTTGTGTACAGTTTTTTGAAGTTTGCAATAACCTGCTGGTCCATGGGCTGCAGGAGAGGAGTGGTATTAGGAGGCAAAAACTTCACCTTAATGAATTTCATGTCCCCATAAAGTCGCTCTGCCACGTCTGTAGGATGACCAGGGGCATTGTCTAACACCAGGAGGCACTTAAGTTCTAATTTCTTTTCAGTTAGGTAATCTTTCACATTGGGGGCAAATGCATGGTGTAACCAGTCATAGAAAAAGTCCCTAGTGACCCATGCCTTACTGTTTGCCCTCCACAGCACACAAATTCTCCTTGAGGACATTCTTTTGCCTGAACGCTCTGGGAGTTTCAGAGTGATACACTAATAAAGGCTTCACTTTGCAATCACCAGTAGCATTGGAACACATCAACAAAGTAAGCCTGTCTTTCATAGGCTTATGTCTTGGGAGTGCCTTTTCCTCCTGAGTAATGTAGGTCCTGCTTGGCATTTTCTTCCAAAACAGGCCTGTTTCATCACAATTAAACACTTCTTCAGGTTTCAGTCCTTCACTTTCTATGTACTCCTTGAATTCCTGCACATATTTTTCAGCTGCTTTGTGGTCCGAACTGGCAGCCTCACCATGCCTTATCACACTATGTATGCCACTACGCTTCTTAAATCTCTCAAACCAACCTTTGCTGGCCTTAAATTCACTCACATCATCACTAGTTGCAGGCATTTTTTAATTAAATCCTCATGCAACTTCCTAGCCTTTTCGCTTATGATCGCTTGAGAGACGCTATCTCCTGCTAGCTGTTTTTCATTTATCCACACCAATAAGAGTCTCTCAACATCTTCCATCACTTGCGATCTCTGTTTCGAAAACACAGTTAAACCTTTGGAAAGAACAGCTTCCTTGATTGCCTTTCTGTTGCCCACAATAGTAGAGATGGTTGATTTGGGTTTCTTGTACAACCTGACCAGGTCGGCGACACGCACTCCACTTTCATACTTATCAATGATCTCTTTCTTCATCTCTATTGGAATTCTCACCCTTATTGCTGTAGGGTTGGCACTAGAAGCTTTCTTGGGGCCCATGATCACTTATTTTCCAGATAAAGCACCGAAAACACTGTAATAATACGAAATATTCCGATTGTATGCTTGGATGTTACCGCGGAGGCTGGCTGGTAAACAATGCCACCGGCGGAACATGTGAGGCTGGCTGAGGGCGCACATTGGACGTGTCTCGGACGGAGAGCGGTGAGCGGGTTTTTGGGCGGTATGCGAGGCAAAATTTTTGCGATCAAAGCGAGCGGTATGCGGATTGTACGGTATGCGATGCGTACGGTATGCGGGGGTCCACTGTACCTGAATAAACTTATTTGCTTCTAGTCTGTCAACTGAGTACAAGAAACCGCCCATTCACTTATTTCAACTACCCAATAAAGTGGTCAGAAATTGGCAATTTGGCCGATTTCACACAAATTTCAACAGATGCCAATTTCAAAATAGGATCCAGAATAAACAATGCAGACATTCCTGGCAGTAAAATAACATTTTCTCTGTTCATTAGTCATGGCTCCAGGTCCCTCTTATATTACTCTTTCTTTTCATTTGGAAGTTTTATTCACAAAAGAATAGAAGATTTACTGTTATGCAGACTGCTGCATTATTGTAATAATTGTATAAATAATGTCAAGCCATTCTTGACTATGTATTGGCCTGGCAGGTGGACAGGTACTGGACGGTGACGTCATTTGTTTACTCTTGAGCTTTGCTAAAGAATAGAACATTTTCGCTACTGTGAGCACAATTTCAAGGTACTTTTCATCATGAAAGCAATCAAAATCATATCTATTTCTGTATTATATTTTTCATTCTATCAAATGAGACCAAAAAAATGAGAATATAACCATAACAACCATACAAAAATATACCGCTAAGCGGCCGCTAATGGCTGAGAATGAACTCCGCTATTTATGGTCTGATTTCTTTAATTTTTGGTGTACGTGAAGAAGTATCTTTCCATCATACATTGCCCAAGTTTGAATAAGATAACCCAACAAACAACTGAGAAAATAATATAATAATAATAATAATATCTTTATTTACTACACGTACATGTACAAGGTATACAGACCTAGCTGACATCAGTGACATACTACTGTATAGAAAGCCGCTTGTTATGCAGAATATTTCAAGAAAATTAGGTCAGTGTCCCAGGATAACACCCACACTAGTCGGCTAACACCCAGGTACCCATTTACTGATGGGTAAACATAGACAACAGGTGTAAAGAAACATGCCTAATGTTTCTACCCTGGCTGGGAATCGAATATTTACCAAAAATCATATATGGCTAACCCAAGCCAGGTACTAAAAATAAGCCACGTTGACTTTTTTTGGGTTATCCTAGGTTCTCTACACATATGATGCTGTGTGTGATAATCTATAGAGAGAAAATAACTTTTTTGTTTCAGGTTTATGGTGCAGTATGAGTGTATATGACAGTTAGCCCTGTGCTACACTCCGTTTTCTCTAATATAAGCCACCAAGACAGGGATAGGAGAATGGTATTTGTATACCATATCCTCTTCATACC